GCTGAAGGGGGTTTCGGCTTGCTGTCGTGGCGCTGAGGCGACGGGACCCACACCAGGAACCGCCCGTGGGGAAAGGTACGGGGCTGCTTCTTGCTAAATGGCTTCTGCCCGGAGCAGAGGAGCTGAGCTCCCCCGGAGGAAGGCACTGTCTCGTTCTTTGTTAGCCGCAAACAAATAAAAATTAATTTATTTCTTTAGTGACACCCTAAGGAGACGGAAGGGAAGTCATTAACTGAGTCCTCAGCTTGATCAGTCAAAATTAAATCGACTGCAGGCACTCCTGCAGTAATGCTGAAGGGCTGTGATGAGGGCACATGAGAGTAAAGATTGCTTAGATGCTTAAACTCTGCGTTTCCATGTTTTACAGGTTTGGGCTTAAGTGTACTGGGCTTGAAAGGGTAAAGACACTTTCAGGAAATAACATCCCTGTAATATTTAATACCAAATTATCAAGGATGTATCTTCTCGCCAACTTATTTTTGGCCCAGCACAGCTTTGCCTGTGCCTAACGTTTATCCAAATCACGGGCAACGTTCGGTACTGCGTCTGTTTACACCGACGAGTACCCTCCTCTGAGAAACTTGCAGGACAAAGGTCACAGCCGGCGCTTTCGGGTTTGCCCTGCCCTCGGTGGCAGTTGTATGCGCGCTAATGCAATGCACTGGTGTTTGCTGGGTTTCGTGCTTTGTGTAAGAGACAACGTTAGAGAAGCCAAGATTCATGTTCTTGGCGGACACCATGCCTTGTCCTTGCAGCAAAGGTGGGAGAGTCAGAGCAGACCTAGTAAATAATTAGTTTATAGCTAAGCGCAATAAATGTTGACTATAGAAACATTACAATTACTTGATGAATATGAAAATTTAAAGAAAAACTTCCTTCTTTAATGAAGTTACTTTACTTGTAGTTTAAAGGGTTTTACTTCCTTTGCTTCTTAAGGAAGTCTGTACTAAGCCTAGAATCAGCATGAAATGGATGTGAGTGCTGGTCAATGAATAACTTTAAGTAGAGCTATAAAATGAACCAGTTTTATTTCTCTGGCTCAGGAAGTTATTTTAGAAAGAAAGAATACATGTAAGAAACAAGATGTCTCATGCTGGGAGACGATACCAGGATAAGCAATACAGGCACCATGAGAACCGTGGATCTGATAGATACGAGGAAGACAGAAGAGCGAGAAAGCCATATCCATACAATGCAAGGTATGTCTTTATCACCTTAAAGAAACATATCACAGCAGGTCTATAACATCTGTCATCATCTTTGTTTGCTTTTTTTACCTTCGTATTACAATAAGTAAAGAAAGCATTACTTAGCCTTGAAATCATGAAGAATGAGCATGCCACGTTTGGAATCAGGGAGCTATTTTACACTTAGAAATTTAACCTTTTTCTTTGTATTGAGCTCGAGAGGGGGCAGAAAGATAGGCTGCGTGACACAGGCAGAGGTGTGAATTTCCTGGGGTTATCTGGATCAAGTTGGGTCACAAGTAGGTGAAGTGTGGCCATGTGTCTTAGTACAGTTCCTGAAGAGGCTGGTCAGCAGGTGACGGCGAGCCATGGCTTGCCAGACATGCATTGCTTAAATGAGAATGCTACGTGACTGAGACCAGCACAGGGACTTACTGAACTCTCAGGTTGCTCTAGTTCAGCTGTGAACAAGTTCATATTGATCTAAAACAAAATTAATTTCAGTAGTTGCAGTCAATAAATGAGTACTTGTGTAAGCGTCTAAGGCTGTTTGCAGCACTTGGTAGTGGGTCAGCCCCTATCAGCACAATAAGCAGATTAACTAATAGAAGGTTTGGAATGACAAAAACACTCTTAGGATATTACAGTTCTCCTTTCAGCCTGGCTAACCTACAGCGTATTAGAAGTGAGCTTAGGCTGTTTTCCTTTGAGTGCATGCCAGCAACTGCATTGTAAGAGAGAGGTCTGTAGCTCCAAACAACACCGGCAAATTGGCCATGGCAGCAAGGTGTTCATCACTCCTGTTTAGTCTCTGGGGGCATGACTGTAGGGCAATTTAAGAATAGAGGCAAAGAGGGAGAGGAAATAAATATAAAGGTTATTGAAAAGCTGAGTTACTGAAGTAGTACATGATAATATGCATTTTAGCAAGAAAAACAGGATGAGAATAAAAGCAGTAGTGAAGAGCACTGTGTGGACTAGAAGGTCTACTTATGGATAAGTATAAAACATTTGGATGGTGGTAATCCTATTGTATTGTGAAAATAGCAAATTTTTTCTTCTGTCTCTCTTGAATCATGACAAATTGGAGAGAAATGGGAACAAAGGTCAGTCTGAGAATCATCCTCAGAGGCTGAATGACTGTCCTTAGCAAAAGCAGAGATCAGGAGGGGATATAGTTAAATTTTTATCTTGAACATATTAGAAGTGAGAGCAGCAAATGCCAGGAATGCATTAATTGCACTGTGGAGAGAGAAAAAAAAAAAAGGGGGGGGGGGTTTTTTTTTTTTTGTGGTTGTTTTTTTTTTTCCCCCGTATATAGCATAGTGAAAGCAATGCATGAAAGCATAGCTATAAATTAAACCACCACTTCTTAGTAAAGTTCTTCTCTGGACTTCTTGTTTTTGCTGTTAGTTTTAAATGACTGGACACATAGACTGAAAATTGGTGGAAGGACTGTGAAGGCTAACAGACCATCCCTGTATCCACCGGGGATTAGAGGAAGGAAAGCGGCAGCTACGGATCTTCAATAGCCATGGAGATCATTCTTAGAGTCAAGCTGAGAATCTGGGGGGCACCAGCCCTTTCTGCGACTAATCAAAAAACTTTTCCATCAGTTGTTTTGATGGAGTTTGGCTTAACCTAACAGCATTTCCCCTGCTTAGCTGGCACAACAAAACCAGTTGCTTTTGTAAAGAAGTTTCAGTGTTTTGGTGAAGACTTAGGCTGATGGACCAAAAGACCTCCAGATACTATAATGAAGTAGATGGGAAAGGTTTCGTGGAAACTGTAATTTGGGTGCCTAATGCTTTCATCCCTTACGAGCAAGACCTTCCTGCCAGAGTATTTCTCTTTCCAAATGCATTTCTGTCTGAAACTCCTATAGCAAGCTTCCTCTCATTGCTGAGGAGAAGAGTTGCATTATCCTGAACTGGAAAGTCCTGAAGGAAAACAGGAGCAAAGGTGGCCAGAATAGGCCATTGTGAGGAAAAAAGCATCTAAAAGAAAGAATTTATTTTTCCTAATTGTACTCTGTTGCTGAACATTAGGGGGGTTTTGTTTTGGTTTTTTTGTTTTGTTTTGTTTTCTGGCAAGTAGCAGGATACAATAGAGAGAAGCAGCTGCATCAGAAGTACCAAAGGGATTGCTTTCAAGTGAACTGGAAGTCTTATAAATCACACAGCTTATTTAATTTATGTGACACAGCTGCGCAGGATGCTTTAGTGGTTGCACAAGACACAGGACAAAGGTCAGAAAAATCAGAAATGTTTCGGCCAAATAGAGCTGTTGGCAACTACGCGCGGAGATGTTAGCATTGGTCTTGTTATTGAATGTCTTAATTAAAATGTAAAAACTACAAAGAACATGATTTAATGTGGATGAATGAGATAATATTTGTAAGTTGAATCTGGAATTGGATGAAGATAAACCTTAGTGAAGTGCAGTGACACTAGGAAACAAAACTACAGTTGAAAATGCTGATCTGTGGATAAGAAATTCAAGATAAAAACTGAATAGGAAGACGACTTTTAAAAATAATAATGCTGAATGAGACTTAAAATACCCTTTAATAACAAAATCATCCAGCTGTACCTTGACAAAGGCAAGCTCCAGTTCTGCTTCAGATGAGGGAGGACATTTAGATTAGACCAGACACTTACAAAACAATTTACAGCCAATGTTTCTTTTAACCTGAGTGTTAGCGCAGTTAAAAAAGGGCCAATTGCACTTCTCCCATAGAATAATCTAAATCTCACCAACCTTAAAAATCATCAGGCTTCAAATGTGGAGCTGTATGTCGTTGCAGCAAAGTGGACAATTCCATTTTGAAGTATCATTTTGAAGAGTCTAATCGAAAACATGAGAAACTGATCTTTTTGGGTCGATTCTAGATTCCTCTTCAAATACCATCAAAGACCTCAAAAAAAAATTTTTTTTTAAATAGGCAATTTTTTTTTCCACTTTAAAATCTTTATCTGTTTCTTTTAATAGCTTTCATTCTTTCAAAAAGGTATCTTTGTGAGACACAGTAATTGGAAGTACAAACTTCACAAAATGCTTACCCATGAAATAGTTGTGCTACTTTACACGTTTATTATGTGAAAATATTTCTCATTTTTATTCTCTAGGCTGCTACGGACTGGCTAAACATGTCTGTTTTTCATGAAAAAGCTGTAGTACAATTACCATTTGCAAGTAACCTAAACAGTTCAGCCAGCCTACTCAGTGAGTACACAGTTTTCCAAAATAACAACGACCAAGTGCAGATATCCTTGTGAACGTGGATTTATGCAAGTATTTGGGATATTTGCTTTCAAAACACACAAGCAAAAAAGATCAGATACCTATGAAGCAGGCTAGCTAGTTCCACTAACAGGAGCATCTGCCAGTTTCTCATGTTCTAATGTTCAGGAGAGAGCATGATCTAATTAATGTACATTAGTCGTTTACTCCATTGTAGATCAACAGAAGAGATCCGGGGTGGCCAGCACTCAAGGACTTCCACTGTTTGCTTGGACCCTTACTCTAAAACCTCAGGAACAGCACGGGAATATTTTGACCCACCACCAGAATGTTATCCTCCCAAGGAAACCTTCTCAATGAAGTGTTCAAAGGTATGCACAACAAGAGGTATGTGAGATTCTTACTGCCTGCCATCCACTCCTCTCCTTCCAAGGACTTGTCTTGGTTTTGGTTTCTGTGTTTAGAAGCACAATAAAGTAAAGCTAGAGGAATATTAAAAAAAAACCCAAACAAAGTGGGAGAGTTAAAGTTAATGAATGGCATAACTGTGGGTTACTAGCATGTTTTAGGCATCTGAAGGCAAGATTTATGGAGATATTTAGATACTTGAAAATGCATCTCCAGAGTATGCATACAGAGCATCAGAGTGGGTTGTGTGCGTAATCACTTGGGTTGTGCAGCAAGGGTTAACCTTTGAGATTTAGGAATAAAATAGATATTTGCGTCTGTAGGCAATTTAAAGATGGCTGTTGAAGCTTTCATGCTAGTTTATTTCTGACACATTCTTCTCAGACTTTTTATCAACTCTGGATTTAATCCAGTTATCACTGATACATCTTTATAAAGCAACATTGTGGGAGACAAAACTATTTTATGGACATGAATCCAATAAAACAGCTCTTGAGAAATAACTTGGTTTTTTCATGGCTAGAAAGTGACTACAACAAGCAGAGAAACGAGCATTAATGTGGGTTTTTGTGGTCTTTAACACTTAGTAAACTCGTTCCCGTAAACTGAAAAAAAAAAAGGCGCTAAAATATCCATTACTCCTTTAAAGTTTTCCCTCTTCCAGGACAATGAACTTTCTCACCTTGTTTGTAGGAAGGGCCCACTGCAGTCTGAGTTGGAACTTGCAGCTAGGTGCAGAGTCTTTGGCTGAAGTCTACAAACAGCCTTTCAGTGTCCTCCAGTAGAGAGACAAATGAAGAGTTCAGTTGTTGGGAGTAAATCAAAATACATAATGTTAGAGTATTTCTTCACTCCGTGAAGGAAAGTTAAATAACACACTCAATTTGCTTTTAATATTTTGCTGTATGTGAATACGTGAACAATTTTAAGACTGAACTGAACTATTTTCTCTTGCAAATATGTTCTGTGTATTTGTATGCAGTTTGTTTTTCATCTCGAGGAGATTTAACTCCAACAGTTAGTAGAGCATATTTAATGATGCAGAGCCATACTGATATTTTATCCCTGATAAAATTGTATCAGCAGTTTCTTCTTCAACAATACTAAATTATTTTAACTTGTCTGAGAAGCTCTAGAAAACTCCATGCCTTATTTTAGCACAGCTTTAGAAAAATGAAGTGGCAGGTTATTTTTAGTTTTCAGTTTCACTGGTTGTTTAGACTTATTGATAGCTTAATGTGACTTGCTGGGGTTTTTTTGAACTGCATTTGCTTCTCATTATTTCAGTGCATTAAACATCATTAACATTTTCAAAATGTACCAGTTCTGGATGCATCAGTTGATGATGATGATTTCGCTCCCACCCCTCCCCCAGGTATTGCTCAGTATTTTCCAAAAATTTAATGTCTGAGGTTGCAGTGGAGGAGGGAAAAGAGATTATGTAGAAAATAAACCCTTTTATTAGCAGTTTTACTTCAAAAAATGACAAGATATTGGAGGTTGATAAGATTATGAGAATGTTACTCCCCTGTTTAATTTTTGAAAGTACGAAGATTAAGCAGAATTTCCTAGAAGTGTTTTGAGAATTCTGTATTCCCTGCAGTCATAGTAAATGTTATAAATGAAAAGCTACATGAATTGTTTACTAAGAAGTCAGTACATGTGAGCTACAACTTCTTACAGCATGAAAAGTTCCTGTAAATAGTTCTTAACCATCTCTTTCTTTTGCCAATGATTTATCAGCACTCTGGTGAAATTCCCCCTTCCCAATCACCATAATTCTAAAACAAACTAGTATCAAACAAGGCCGGGAAATCAAGTGATGTACCACAGTCTTTTCCAAAGCAACAGCTGAAATGTGAACCTTAGTTTCTGACCATACATCACTCTACTTTCACTATGGCTTTATTTTTTTTTTCTTTTGCCCAGCAAATATACTTATGCTCTTTGTGCATGTTGACCAGTCTGGCAAACTAGAGAGGAATTCTAAACAACCAGAGCTCTGAAAAGTATATTTCCTTCACCCAGATACTGCCCTCTTCATCCATGCTTTTCACCAGCAATATCCCAAAAAGCCAAAGGTGAGTTTCAGAAAGAGGCAGTTATTTTTGCAGTGATCATTCGAACATCTTAGCTGCAAGCAGCAGCAGAAAAAAGGAGATCGTTCTCCTATCTTTGTTATTCCCACCTTCCCTCCCTAATCCCTGCCCCCTTGTTTTTCCTCCAACCGAATAAGACAATAAACCCAACCCAAATATAATGGAAGAAACAACTAATACTGACCCCTTTTGCCGGTAGGAACATTTTATACTATCTAAGAAACTTCAAAACATTCTGCTCCTTTTTCTTCCTTTTATCTTGAAAACAGAAGGAGAAAAGTCTGTTAAAACATTGTATGAGCAATACCTATTCAAAGCCATTCAAGAGGATCACGTGGCTAGCAGTACTGGATCATATGAGGCACCTAATTACGTATCCTCTCAAACAATGTACTAGAGTGCAAATTTAGGAGGACCATTGGAGTTTGGACCAGTACAGTGTGAGCTGTCCTCTGGAATACGCTCCAAACTTTGGATTGGTGGAATTTTCTGAATTGGAAAACTGCATTGACTTCTGTTATATTTAATACCTCTTTACAGACCTATCAAATTTGTTTAATCCTTTTCTGAATCCCCGTTTGAATGTCTGGCCTCCACATGATCTTATGACAAGGAGTTCCACAGTTTCTTTGTGCCACTTGAAGAAGTACTGTTTTGTTCCTTAAAACGTTTTAAAGAAGGTGTCTCTGATTCTGGTGGTATTCAAAATACCTAATGATAATCTCATATATTCATCTTCTCCATGAGATTGATGATTTTAGAGTGAAGTCTTCCCTTTCTCCCTGTCACTGTGCTCCTAGCGCTTCTTCAGAGACTGAAGAATAGTCAGTTCTGTCCCTATCAAGAGTGAAGTCTTTCCAGTTCTGGTTAGCTTGCCAGCCTTATACCTTTTCTAGATCATCGTACCTTTTTGAGATGGGCTGACCAGCACTGCACTCAGAATTCAAGATAAATTTCTAAAGGAATCAGACATGTGCATAAAGGTTCTGGTTCTGTAGTCCTATCCTAATGCGTCCTAGCTTTTCATGTGGTGTTTGACTACCAGTGAACACTGAGCTGATGTTTTCAGAGAAGGCTACCTGATGTCTTTCCTGAGTGGAAATGATTTGTTTAGACCCCATCCGTGTGCTCTGTAGAAGGGGGGTGGGGTGGGTGGGTGTGTTTATCTGTATGCATGAAGTGTGAGATTGCTTATTAAACGCTGATTTCATTAGTTTCTCATTCAAGAGCTTGAGCTCTCAGCAGCCTACCAATTTTACAGTTGGCAATCATGAAGAATTTTTTGTGATGATTATTATTAAAACAGACTTCACCATCTCACTTTTCAGTTCATTAGTCTGTGCATCTACCATAGTTTTTTTGTGTGTACTTTTGAGATTAATCTCTTCGGAGTCCCCACTTACAGCTCTTTGGGCCATGTTGCAGAGCAGTCTCAGGATGCACAAACTATATTTCCTTCAGATAAAACTAAATGAGAGGGTGAGCTGTAACTACTAGCAGGCACTCTGTGCTTTGGACCAAACTAGAGCTAAAATGAAGTACTTCTCTCTCCCCAGAAAATGCCTATCGTGTAGCCCCTAGGTCTTCAGCTGCAACTGTTTGACTCTACAGATTCACTCCCATTGCACTGCTAAGACGGGCATAGCTAGCGACAGGCAGCCCAAAACAGAGATTTCTGTCTTAACTCTATTTGTTTGAAAACTGGTTGTTTCCTCGTACTCTTTATTTTCTTCTAACCACTACTAACCTGTGAGAGGATCTTTTCTCTCACAGGAGCCTTTGTTGTTTAAGAGCACTACCACTTGGATTGCCTCTCTTCATATACCTGCTGATGCTCTCAAATGACTTCCCTCTAACAAACTTTTGACTCTTCCCCGCTATGCTATCTTTATGTCTATTTTCTGTATGTTTTTTTTCATAGGGACGTCACACTTGTGGATCTGCAGATTACAGATTCAAAAGGCAATAGAAACACAGGAGTCTGCCATGTTCTGTTTCTGTAGTAGTGAAGGAGACTTACGGAACAGCTTATAGACCGGTGTCAAGCTGCCTAGATACTCTATATAATTATATGGGAACTAGAAATAAACAGTTCATGATAAAGACAAACCTTTCATCAGCTAAGGAACTACTGCTTGCAATAACCATTTCTTACAACTTACGCACAACAGTGCGTGCCATTTAAAGCAGCACGCGTTGAAAACAACAGGAGTTTTTGGCCTGGGGATACTTAGAGCTGAAATTCTTTCAGAAGAAAACGTTCAACTTGCTTTTCACAGCACAGGTAAAATTTCTGTAGTTCTCTCTTCTGTGTTGAAAAACTAAATTAGTAATCATAGTTGCCTTTCAAAGGACCCCCCTCGCATCCTTTGAAAATATAACCAGATTCAGTGCTTTTGGTTACCAGAGGAAATGAGAGAAGTGTTCAAGGCTGGCTGCCTGCCATGCTGCTTCCTTTACCTTAGAGAGAGCAAAATCTAAGTCGAACCCAAGAGTGAATTGCTGATCTTAAATCATAGGTACTTGGTCACTTGACCTTGAAAACTTTTCATTTTATTTTTATTATGTATATTGGTGTGAAAGAGACAGAGCAATGCAATTCCAGGATAATGCTTCCTTTAGTTTTGCTTAAACAGTGAAGGTAAAACTAAGTTTCTCCCATCTTTGGTCAGTATGCGACTCAGGAAATGCCTGCACTTTTGCCTTGTATAGAATTGGACTGTGCTGGTCATAATTTCTGAGCTAATAACTTTTTTTTTAATTCTTCAACCCACTTGGCATTTAAAGGAGACAGCACTAAAAAGGTTAGAAAACAATTTGTGGGGGAGCAAGTATAATTGAATCCCTGTTCTTTGCTGCCATGAATGCAGCTTTGCACCA